GAACGGCCAGGCGCCCGTGCCGACCACGCCGCCCCCAAAGAACAAGACGTCGCCAGCCTCCGCTCGACACAACCCCGACGACAACAACGCGACCAAGACCGACCAGCCGCGCGCCGATGCATCCACCGCCGCTGAGAACACCAAGAACGACACGTCTACCAACCGTCACACCACTCCTGTCGCCGTCGATACCGTCATGACCGATGCCGACGCCGCGACCACCGCGATTACGACCGCCCTCCCCGCAGCATCGCAGCCCGCTCCAGCCGCCCCGATGGATGCCGATCCCTTCAACTCCTCCTTCCCCCATACCCCAATGCCCAATATGGACCACGCCTACATGATGATGGCTCTCGCGCATATGGCAAACAACCAGATACCCAACCAGATGTCGCCTCCTCCCACTGTCACGCCAGCCCAGGTCACGCTTCCGACCATGAGCAACGGCAACGACCCGCTCGTCGCAAGCACTCAGAACCTCGCGGCAGCCACACAAGGCCTGGAGTCCTTTGCGCGAATAGAATTCGCCGACAGTGTCTTCCAGATGACCACTTACGCCGTCATCATCGGTCGTGATCAAAAGGCCATGATCCAGGCGCGAAGGGACGAGAAGCGCAATGCCGAACATCGGAGAAGAGTTGAGGAGTACGAAGCACTAGGACTGCCGCCCCCCTCTCCCGTCAGAAATGACCGAATCAAGTTCAGCAAATCGTACGTCAGTGAAGAAGGAGGCATGTTGGGACCCGAGTCCGACAGTGAGGAATCCGGACGGCCAGCAAAGCGACGCAAGACCACTAGTACTGGATCGTCGCAAAGACCCGAAGAGGAAGAAGCACAGGAGAACCTCATATCCAACAGACAGTACGTATCACATACACCGGGCGCCGCTGCTGTTGACCTCGCGTCTCTGCGGCCCTCTCCTCACCACGTTCCGCTGGTCGGCATTCATTCACCCGGACCCGACATTGCGACCAAGACCAAGGCCATTTCAAGAGAACATCTCAAGATCCAGTTCAACCGTGCTGAGTGCGTGTTTGAGGCTATTCCATTACACAAGAATGGTTTCTTTTGTGAAGATGTTCACCACAAAGACGGAGTTGTCGTGCTTCGGAGCGGCGCCCACTTGCAGATCAAGGATGTCGACTTTCGATTCGTCATCAATGGTGTCCCTGAAGGCCGCACTGGCGCGGAAGACTTCGCAGAAGATAAGGACAATGTGAAGAAGAGCGGCAGAGCCCAAGGTGGCAAAGAGATGAGCTTCGAGTTTGAAGCCTCACATGGAAATGGCGAGCTGAATGACTCAAGCGACTCGTCGCTCAGTCCCCCAGCACCGTCCGAAGATGAAGAATCAGATGTCGACGCCGAGGCAGAGGATGCGGACGTCGATGCAGAAGCTGAGGCCGATGCAGAAGCCGAAGCAGATGCTGAAGCTGAGGCCGAGGCCGAGGCCGAAGACGAAGCCCTCGCAGAAGCAGATGCTCAGGCTGACGAGGAAGAGGAGGAAGTGGAAGACGTTGAGCCTAGCACAGAAGTTAAGGCAGAGGAGCCTGAATTGGGCCACTCATTACAGCAGCCATTACCACTGCTCATTCCAAAGAAAAGGGGGCCTGGCAGACCGCCAAAGAACGGTTTCATGTCCAAGCGCGAGCAACGGTTGCTTAAGAAGCAACAGCAAGAGATGGCCAAGAAGACGCTACCACAACCACCTCCCGGTGAGCCTCCAATCAAGAGGAAGGTCGGACGTCCAAGAAAGCATCCGCTTCCGGAAGAAGGGGGTGACCGACCAGAGAAGCGCAAATACAAGCCACGGAAGCCGAAGGGTGAAGACGGCGCAGAGGGATCAGACGCAGAGCGACGGGCCAAAGAGAAGAAGGAGAAGAAGGTCCGGCCGAAGTCGCCTCCCTTGGAGCTCAAGATTGAAGACTACACAGAAGAACAGCTTCAGAAGCCCAACAAAAACTACGGAGTTCTCATTGACGAAACTCTGACTGCGGCGGGACCCGACGGTCTTACACTGAAGCAGATCTACAAGCGAATCACGCAAAGATACCCCTGGTTCTACTTCCACACAGAGACCAAAGGTTGGGAATCCAGTGTACGGCACAATCTCATCGGGAACGAGGCATTCAAAAAGGACGACACCACCGGACTCTGGTCGCGTGTGCCTGGTGTAGAACTTGATGCCGGCAAGAAGCGCAAGGCCTCATCGCCGGATCGCTCCATGAGTGCCGGTTATGGCCATTACAACCACCACCCAACGTACGCTCAATACGCCCAGCAGCAGCAACAGCAATATCAGCAGCAGCAGCCTCAGCAGCCGCAACCGCAGCAACCGCAACCCCAACCGCAGCAGCAACAGGCGCACATGCCCCCAGCGTATCAACATCTTCCTCATGCATACCATACGCAGGCATATGCGGGTCAACAAGCGCAAGCTGCTGCTGCTGCTGCCGCCGCTGCTGCGCGAACACCTCAGTACTCTCCTCCAGCAACGACTCCAGCCCCTGGCCAACCAGCGCAACCCCCGGCATCTCAACCTGTTGCGCCTGCAACGCTTCCCGGTTATGGAGCTGCCGCCGCGATTGCCCGACCTCAGGGCGTCGCGGGTAAGCAACCGGCTTACAGCTCACCATATGCTTCGCGACCTCCTCCGACACATCCTGCTGTCAAAGCAGAAAATGGCACCACCCCATCAGCACCGCCAGTCACACAGCCTGCTCCGGCCGTCCCCCCTGGAGCTCAACCACCACCGATACCCGCTGCTACACCGCAGCAAACCCGACCCACACCAACGCCACCAGCACCAGCCGAACCTCGCGCAGTCATCCAACCTCGCCTATTGTCTGCAGTCAACGGCCTCAAAAACGGTTTGATTGACAGCCTGAAGAAAGCGAAGAACCCAAAGGCCGAAACAATCGTCATGTCTGCCCTCAATCGGGTCTTGGGGCTCAAGAGTGCTGCCACAGAGAATCAAGCCATGGAGGACATATGCATGAAGGGCATGCAAAAAATTGTCGACGGCTTCTGTGCCCCAAGCAGCAGCACGCCTGGCTCTGGTGGCACACCACAGCCAAGTGGGTCCAACAGCGTCTTCGACCCTAAAGTCTTCCAGTCCTTGGTTGGGTTCAAGAATGTCTCGTCCAACGCCCTCAAGGTTAGGATAGGAGAGGCCAAGGCTGAGGCAGTCACCCTATCCGCCATCGACCGAGTGCTCGGCCTAGCCGATGCAAGTATCGTGCCCCCACCCGCGGAAGCTACAGCGTCTGGCTCGCCGGCTGCAGGCTTGGATGGGATCGAATCACACCTAATGAACTCGGTGAAGCAGTTACTGCTAGGTCTAAATCAGAAGTTGCATGGAACATAAGTATGAATCTAGCACGAGAGAGAGGAGAGAGGATTTCGCAGCAAGGTCACCTAGGCAGCCCAGGGGCCCTTTGCGTTGTTTCTGGAAGCGAATGATCATGAAATAGCGAAATACGACTACTCATAGCGTAGCTAGGTATTGTCGATTGGGGTTTAGCACAAAATATCTTGAATTGTTTTTACAACATGTTCTACCGTCAGAGAGCCGCGATCTACTTGATGTGCCTCGCCATCACTACTTCTTCGTTACGGAAATCAACGCAATGCATGCCCAGGCTGCCTCCCAAAACGCCATTCATTCCTTCTCCCACATCACGGGATTCGCGGACGTGTCAAAATTACTCCAGTCCCATGCCAGCCATAGCTGCGATGTGCTCGCAATCAACTATACTGGCCGTGTAGCACACCAGACCCGTCATTACACGATTATAGTCTAGCGGGTGAGCTCGTGTAGATGGACGCATGCGAGGAGACACTAGTCATGTTCGATGGCGACCTGCCCATGACTTTTCGTTGTGATTGTTGGGAAGCATCTCCTATCCTGGTTGTAATGTCTTCATCCATGCGGTCCCACCCAGGTCCTGCAAAGTTGGCAGACATCCCGGTCCGGTCGCCCCTTTGATGACCGAAGACCTGTCTTGCGTCGACATCTCCCGGCGTCCAGCCGTCTGCTCTATTGGGTGGGTTATGACGATGGGTCATTGGCCCGGTCGTCGCGGCATAACGGAGTCTATCTCTTAGACGAGGTGGGGGCCTTAGATCTCCCCACGCTGCTCCGTCATCGTTCGGCCTCCAAGAATCTTGTCTGGTTGGGGCTTGTGGGATCGTGGGCAGCGTCTCGAGGAACTTGTAATCGGGGAGCTCTGCGGGACGGTTGTGATCTGACATCTCGAGCGGGGGGTCTTCGTTGAACATCTCCCAAGGGCCACGATATCTCTGCACCTCGCTGCCTTGGGCCTCTGACGGGCCCCAGCCAGCCTCTGGATGGGCTTTGTCATCGGGCGGATCCGGGTACTGCGTGTCGTTCAAGATGATAGTGTCCTCGGAAGACACATCGGAATCTTTGGTGGTTCTTTTCGAGACAGTAAGAAAGCTTCGCTTTGGTTTTGGGGGGTTTGGTCTCGACATCGGTGCCTGGTTCCCGGTCTCTTTTCTATTGTTGCGGACGATGTATATTACGAGAATGATCGTAATGCAGATGAGGGCGAGGCCGCCGAGAACACCTGCGATAATGGCCGCGAGATTCAGACGTGATCCAGAGGTTGACGAGTCTGCTGGGGTCGTGCTTGTCGTTTTAGGAGCTGGTGTAGTACTCGTTGCTGAGGGTATTGATGTTGAGGAAGCGGGCTGGATAGATGAATTAGGAGACTCTGAGGTCGCGGCCGAAGAGGCAGCGTCCTCGCTGGATGGATCTTTCGCAGCAGATGAAGATGAGGATTTCAAAGCACTCGAGGAAACACTTGAACGCCCAGTCGCGGGAATTGTGATGTCTGGGAGTGAAGTCGGTTTGATGGCTACAAGGTTGACTTCGGCTGTAATCCAACAAAATATGTTGAACATTTCGATGTCAATGCCCGAAGTCATGATATTCGTTGCGCAGTAATATTGCTCCTCAGAACTGTGACATTCAAATACTGTTAGCGGCTGAAAGTGCAAGGAAATGATTCAAAATAAAGGAGAACAGTTTCACTGAGAGTCAAAATTACTTGCCATGTAAGAGTCGCAGTGCCCATTCTGCCGCAACCAGTGCTGCAGGCGTGGGAATCGTAGCACATGGCAGGGAAACTGCAGTCATACCCATTGGTGATCGAGGTGTCGCATGAGCCCCATAACCTATCGGTCATTGCGTGTCGGCATATTGATCCCGAGGGTGCAATCACGGGCTGTGTGCTGCGGCCGCTTATGTACCCGCAAATTGTACCCGAAGTGAACTGACGACGGTCGTGTAAAGCTTGCCGGATTGCATATGAAGGTGGCGCCGGCGTTGGCCGTGGACTCGAGGGTGCGACCGAATTGCGACTTGCTATCTCGGCCTTTGTCCATTTTGGGTGGACAGCGAAAAATAGAAGAAAGATTCTTAGAATAATCATGGGTGCCCAGAATCGTAAGACACTTCCTAGAGAGTGGAAGGAGAGGAGCAGTACGAAAGCTCGATTAAAGCGACTCAGCACAGTGAGATTAATAAATAGTAGGAGCCGGTCCAAAGTTGTGGAATGGAATCAGTGAAGTCGAATGCACAACCTTCACAGTTAGTTAGAGTGAGTAGCGTGGACGATGGTGGGAGGAGCATTATTTAGAGGGTGGCTACGACATACTGCTGGCAAGGCACCTGATTTAAACGGATCTCAAGACATTCGTTGCCCGATTCTATGCTTAAAGCCAGTGTCCCGGGATTCTGGGAATAGTTTCTTGGCTTTCACGTAGACGCAAAGAGATTGGCCATTCCTCTGGCTTCGCGTCGGACATCCACCTGCTACTGTCCAGATACGGATGTTGTTCGAGCCCTCAGACGCTCAACAACGGGCAAAATCATCACCAACAACAAGAGGGCTTCAAATACTGGTATTGCGGCGGACAAACCAACAACATTATCGAGAGAGCGTTTACACCGTGTCTCTCATTGGCCCGGCAAAAGCGGAGACTGGTAATCGCGCGGCAAGCCGACCATCGGTGGGTCCATAATTTCGGCCGGCATAAGTGGAGAACTCCCTGCGCCGCTTGCCGGCATGGCTCGGCGTTGGATAGGATAACCATCTCAGCCTGCTTCTCTGGAAAGCCAGTGAGAATTTCTCTGTTATTCATACATGAAGCTATTCGCACACAACTTCATACACGTCGAAATTATCATCAGCGAAGACATCGCGATGAGCGGTCCGATCGCCCCTTCTGGGGTGCCTTGCTGCGCAAATCAGTTGGAAGTCCCCAACAACAAACGCCCCGTTTGCTTTCAACTCAGCACCCCTAGCAAGTTAGTGGGGCCCCCAAATAGCGGCTGCTTTCTGAATGTGACCCTCCCTTGCGCAGTCAATGTGATCTGCTTGCTTTAAATCATGGTTCCTGAAGTTTGTTGGAACATGGGGTCGGATGAGACGGGGGTTCCAACAGTAGATATGAACAGTGGGCATTGCTGCCATAGACCGGTGGTTTTTCTCATTCCCCTTTCACTTCTTTCTGATTCTTCTTCAGCGCTCAGAGTTCTCGCCCTTCGCAGACTCGATATGATATTCTCCTACATCAGTAGCTTATGATGAGGCAATCGCTTGCTGTCGCTTTACGTTTCGGCGCTATTTGCCTTGCCATAACCACCATACTAATCGGCTACGATCTCTTTAACGGGAACGGATACTTGGAGGCCGTATATAAGCCATTTCGTAAGTAATCGTTTCTTTCGGTCAGATTTGTCAATCATCAGTACTAAAAGCTAAATCCGCAAAGGAAATGGCGACCCAAAGAAGGGCAGCAACAGCCATGCGACCAATATCACTACAAGCATCACTCCAAGCATCACTTCAAGCATCACTTCAAGCATCACACATTCCATGAACCCATCGACTTCTTTGCCGACATCAACTCCGACCTCTCAAATCGATTCAAGCAATCTTCCAGACGGCGATCCGGAACTCCTGAAAAGTGCGGGACGATACATCAAGTCCATTCTCGACCCTGATGACACTTCTCTCCCCCGGCTTGAATGCCCTCGCATCGACTCTCAACGCTACGGGTACCTCAACCCGAATCTAAAGTACCAGAAGCGCAAGTTCTTCTTCGCCCTCAACATCCGACAAAAGGTCGATCTCCTCCCCCGGCTCATGGGTTCCATCACTGAAGCCATTCGCTTTCTGGGCCCTGAAAACTGCGCCCTGTCCATCGTCGAGGGCAATTCCGGTGACGGGACCTACGAGGTCTTAAAAACTCTGCAATCCCATATGGAGAACATTGGCATCGAGTTTCACTTCCAACACAGCGATCTGGACCCAGGCGCCGGCGAGCGAATCCCAAGGCTTGCTGAGCTGCGCAATCTGGCCCTCGCACCTCTGCTAGATCGCGGAAAGCACTATTCCTCCGACGCTACAGTACTTTTTCTCAACGACGTTGCCATCTGTGCAGAAGATATCTTGGAACTCGCCCACCAGCGTCGTCGATTGGGAGCAGACATGACTTGCGCCATGGATTGGACCTATGTTGGGAACGACCCGACTTTCTATGACGTCTGGATCAGTCGTACCATAGCAGGCGACTCGTTCTTTGAAATTCCGCCTGACGGCAACTGGAACTCGGCTTGGAACATATTTTGGAACGAGGCAACCACGCAGCGGCTTTTCCGAGATCACCGTCCGTTCCAGGTCTTCTCTTGCTGGAACGGCGCAGTGGCTATCTCGGCGCAGCCTCTCCTCGATCGAATTATTCGTTTCAGAGCACCTGGCCCAGGAGAGTGCTTTCAAGGGGAGCCATCCCTCTTCTGTAAAGACATGTGGAATAATGGCTTTGGGAAAATTGCCGTTGTGCCTAGCATCAACTTGGAGTATAGTGATGAGGCAGGTAGAAAGATCAAGACAGCAAAGGGATTCACAAATCAGTGGATCAAACCAGATGAAGACGAGAAGTCGTTAGATTGGAGAAAAGAACCTCCAGAGAAGGTCAAATGCATGCCGAGCTATGAGAAGCAGGCATGGGAGCCTTGGAACCAGGGATTGGAATGATAGATTTCGGGACTTAGACTTCTTGTGAATTTCTAGAGCAGAAAGAAAAAGAAAAGTATATACCATGTGTACATTCTGGTATATGCTGATATCGTCGCGCCAAAGCATAGTTGGTCGGTGGTACACAGATCTACTTCACCTTTCCAAAGATCAACTTTTCCCAGCAATCGGGATCCTCCATATCCATTCCTTTGATCTTTTGAACCCAAGATGCCGAGAGTCTGCCTTTGTTGTCGAATGGTCGAAGTCGAGCCCATGCCGCCCACATCCTCACTACTGCCTCAGCTGTCGACGCGTCGACTTCGAAGAATTCGTGGTGCTGTACGGGACAACCCGGGCATTTCTCTTTTCTCTGATAATTGCGCAGAAGTAGGTGGATGATCTTTTCCATTCTGACGTGATGGGTGACTTTGTATGCAAAGACAAGTTGTGGCTCGTAATGGCACTGTTCCTGCCACTCTTTCATGCGTCTTTTGTAATTGTTCGTATAGCCAATCTTAATAACCTGACAGGCCTTAAGGCTTGTCGTCTTATGGTCTTGAGGCAGTTGATAGCCGTAAATGTATCCTTCACCTTTGGCAAAGCCTTCTTTTTCGCTCTTCACAAAAAGCGTGTTGAGCTTATTGACAATGTCCTTATTGATCGCACTGATATGTTTGGGTTCGCAGTAGGGCTCGAAGGTGTGTATGGTGTCATTGCATTTGACTGTGTCTTCAAGCGGGTCCAAAGCAAACGGGACAGCTTCAGTCTTGACGTGTTGTTCGTCTTGTTCTTGTTTAACGACGGTATTTATCAACGATATTCCTGGCTTCGCTTCGGCATGAGAACATGTTGATGGCTGGACTGCGGCTGGTTTTTTGAGAATGGTGACTTGAGTTCCGCTGAGTTGAGTTGAAGCTTTAGTCGATTTCGGGTGGTGATGTCTGGTATCTGCTTCTTGAGTTACCGCAGCATCGTGACTCAGGAACGAGATCAGGCGGCTTCTCCAGTGTGCCACTTTCTCGGCAATCTGAGTTTGGTGGTATCTTTTGCAGAGAACAAGAGAAGCGAGAGTCTTCAAATGATTGGTCGCGCAGCTTATATCTCCGCTTTCGACGATGTTGAGCAGGACGGGTGTTATCTGAGAGCGGGAGACTTTGCTTATTGAGTTACCACAAGTCGGCTTGTTCTTAGAATACCCTCGGCAGGTGGTACAAGCATTGATTTGGATGTCGAGACAGCGATAGAGCTCGTTGGTATTCCTTACCCATGATGTCTGAATGAGGGCTTCCATTGAAAAAGTATGTTCAAGGTTTGATGTTGAGAACTAGCTCTTGTCACAGGCTTCTTGATGTCGCCGTATTGCTATCATCGCCAATTTCAGGCATTCTAGGTCACTTATAGGAGTTTGAGTGACTGGAAAGAGCCTCCGAGGAGGCCTCGGTAAGGCTTACGGGCCTGGGCCATAGCCACGCCACACTCCAACATGGCAGAAGCCGTGGGCCGCAAATTGACAGCCAAGTGGGTGGAATCCTGGACGATTGTTCCATACTCTCATGTCTAACAACTTATGTGTTAACTGGCATCTTTATTATTGCCGTCCTTTTTACAGTATCTGTCGTGACCTATATCGTCTTGTTCCTATAGTCTTTAGCGTCGTCTGATCTTTTCTTGTCCGCTCAAATAGTGAGTAGTGGGCGCTGGAGCAAACTTCATACCTTGACGGTAATGCTGGGTTTAAGAAGTCCATTGCCGCCCATGTTGCAAGACCTCGATGTACAGCGTTTCCGTCTGTGTGAATGGATTCCGAGAAAAAACTGAAGTGCTGGTGATAATGACCCAGCTAAGGTCGTTGGAGGTTCAGGCCTGTTCGCCATATTTGGCCGTTGGCGGTATGAGCACCAAGAGGACTCACCGCCGACGATGAACCCCTCGAATCCAGTCTCTCGGGTTTGAAACTGGCGCAGAAGTATCTACCAATAAACATGAAGCGAAGAACCACGGAGGAAAGTGGAAAAAGTCTTGCAGGTGATGGCGTGCGGAAGACTTGTCGTCGGCGGTTGCGGAGCGAATGAGAAGTTGTGCGCTGGACTTGGCACATGTGGTTCTGGTACTGTCTGCCAGCCGGTCAACGAAGCGGCCACCACCCAGGCTGTGCTGTGGACTCATTCATCGCCAGAACTCGAGCTCTATGCCCTCGAAAGTCCGCTGCCGACAAGTAGAAGTGGAAAAAGTATTCCAAAAACAATGCCTTTCCGCTAGAAACGGTGATTCATCGTGTCGTTTCCTTTTATGGACAGATGACGATCCGGTCGACAACATGAATGGTCTTGAGCTATTCAAAAGCAGTCAACCTTTGCAGGAACTCAATCCATCTTTGGAAAGAAAAAGTCGATCACAAATTTCACGAAAGAGAATAAGATTGCCCTGTTGATGTGATGCGAACTTGGGTAACGTTGGTGTCGGATAAATGGTGAACATCGATACGGATGGCGCAGGCTCAAATGGGCAAACTCGGGCCTTGAATGATGCGAAATGTACATTGTGTGGGCTCAAAGATCCCTCAACTTTTGAAGCACATGGTTGACGTGCGTTCCATCAGCCCTAATATTTGCTTAGCTCACTGTCATCGAAAATACTCAACACTGAAAATCGGCAACACTCACTATTTACGCTGAGACAATCATTGATGCGATCTAGTCAGATCAGTCTTGCTGAGTGACGACTCATCTCAAGTTATTAGTCTCTCCTCCCAGTTGGTAAGATCCAGGCGATGGAAATGCCGGCCGAGTGCCGATTGACTTATGTCACACCCGGTGAAGAAGAGTAAACTGGTGAGATAAGAATGCATACACACAGATGCAAGTATGCAGATCATCAGATCGTGCGCCGGTGAAAGGCGCATTTGAACAGTAATCCGGACTTTAAGGAGATAAAATCAATCTAGTGGCCACTGACATCACTGCTCCGCACCGGCTCAACAGTTTCGAGAACTTACAAAACGGTCGACTCTCGGACTGGACATCGACTCGAAATCCACAATAGTCAAAGAAACCCTATACCTTTTGTTATCGCACAGCATGGACTTCGGATCCGAAACACAGGCTGCTTCTTCAAAGCGCATGTACACTGCGCGGGCCGACAACTATGAAAAATCATTTCATCCCGACTATACCAAGCGCTTCATGGCGCTCGCCGATGTCCAGCCGGGCGAGCGAGTTCTGATACTGGCCTGCGGTACCGGGCTTGAGATCTTCATTGCCGCGGAGCAAGTGGGAGAAGAGGGCGAGATTGTCGGCGTTGATATCACAGACGCAATGTTGACCAAGGCAAGAGAGAAGAAAGAGCGTCTCAAGCCAAAAGCGGGCATAGCCTTGTTCAACCATGACATAACGGACCTGGACGGATTGAAAGAGCTTGAGGACAAGAAATTCGACGTCATAATGTGCTCCAACGCATTTGTGCTGCTCGACAACCAAGAACAAGTTGTAGCTTCGTGGAGAAAATACTTGAAGCCTGGCGGGCGATTGCAGGTCGACATCACCCATGAGAACAACCTCAAGATCGGGCTTTTGTTAGAACGCGCGGCCAACAGATTGGGGACTAGATTCCCTAGTAACAGGACGTGGATCAAGGATAGGAACTCATTCAAACAGATCCTAGAGAAGGCCGGCTATACGGTGGAGAAGATCGAGTTGATGGACAAACTAACTGGTCAGGGTAGCACGTTCTACGGCATGGACCAAATTGACGAGCAATTCGACGGGATTATCAGCACGCCATTGACAATCAAAATGGTGACGGACGAATTCAAGAACAAAGCCAGAGCACTATTTCGGGAAGAATGGGAAAAGGATGCTGTCGATGGCAAAATTGAGAACGTCGATGCCCTGTATGTCTATGTAGCGCGGAATATTTAGGCCGCAAAGCCTTGTTAGTCTAATACAAAACATGGAGATGTAATGTAACGCATGTTTACAGCTTAGACTTGCCGCTTCCTTTCAAGTTTGGTTTAACAGGAACCTTGGGGTGATCGCCTTCTAATGCCAGACCCGTAGCCTTCTCAAGCTCCTCAACCGCCTCATATGTCCTGCCAAGATGGACCTTGATGGTCCCAAAACCCTGCTTCTTAGCCTCTTTGAGGTTCTCACCTATGTCATCGAGGAAGAGAATGTCGTCTGGCTTGACCCCATCGGCCCAGCCCAAGGCCCGGCCTCTCTCGGAGTCTGCGTTCTTGATAGCATACTCATTGACAGTCTTCACAGCAAGTTGATATATCCTCGGATCAGGTTTTCGGAGACCAACATGCGCTGACGAAATGAAGACGTCGAAGAGACTGCGGACAGGGTGATCGAGAAAGTCCTTCGTCCATAACTTGTGCCCCTCCGGAAAGACGACAGTGTTGCTCAGAGCGGCGAGAATGTATTTACCGCTGGATTTCAGATTCTTCAACGCTGGGTACATCCATGGATCTGGAGGGATCGAGTTGGTCATCATGGTGTTGAATAAATACTCTCCGTCAACATCTGGTACAGGCGGGACCTCCTTGGGTAATGATGGGTTCTTGGCTTGCTGTGCAGTGTAAAATGCCACCCAACGACCTTGATCGTGAAGGTCTTTGTTAAAACCCTCAAAGAAGGCCTTATCCATAGGGATTGAGCCCGTTTCCAGACGATGCCAGAAACCGGTAGGGCTCGTCTTGGAGATGGAGTAGTTGACCCATCCTGGCGGGATGCCGAGACTGAGTTCGTAGTCGAGAATGGATTGGAAGGGCGAGACGACCTAATGAGTGTTAGGTAAACTAATTGACCTCATCGCTATGTATTCGCAATCCCAAGACCGTCGATGAGTGTGAGGACTGGAGAGATGAGAGGGTCCCACTTACACACACTCCGCCAATGTCGAAGAGGAGAACCTTGGGTTGCTTGGATCCAGTCATGTTGTCTACGGCTTCAAGCACATGATCAACAAAGAAGGTGTCTGATCCCTCGAAGGACTCCATGCTATTGAGAAACCGAGAT